TCCGAACACCCAGTTTAAATGGTTTTATTTTAATAAAAGTTGGTGAATGTATTTATCTTACTGTAAATAACAAGTGACAAAATTTTCAGCCTTATCAGTTGGACATTCCGGTTTTTATACTGCTTTTTTTTAATTCACTAACGCTCTAAAAATGAATATTTCAGCCGCAATAAAGAATCAACTTTGGCGGATTTTGGTTCTTGACATCCTTTACGATCGGTTACGATGCCTAGAGTACGGAGACCTGTACGATTTCGTCAACTTAGTGAGTTTGATAGGGGCCGTATAGTGGGACTTCGGGAAGCTGGACTTTCTTTTCGGGCATTTGCAGTTAGAGTGCAAAGAAGGCCGTACGCAAAGAGCAAGGGGCACTGGACGCCGCCGTAGAACAACAGACCGTGAAGATCGCCGCCTAAGATTATTGGCCTTAAGGGACCGTTTCTCCACTACCAGGTCCATTGCAAATGAATGGTTTGCAGAACACGGAAGACCTATTGGCATGCGAAGTGTTTACCGACGAATGAGAAGTTTTGGCTTGTTTTCATACCGGCCACACTGGGTCCTCCCTTTAACTCGAGAACACCGACGTAATCGCCTTGAGTGGTACAGACAACGGTCACTCTGGGATCAGGAAGGGAACAGTATTCTGGAACCATAAGCTATAGCACCCCAAACCATAACTCCAACAGTGTGATGAACATGTCTTTCAACAAAAAACTGTGGATTCCTCCTTTCACCACGTCGCCTTCTAACCCTGGCACGACCATCGTGCATGCCTAAACAAAATCGAGACTCGTCACTAAACACCTTTAATCTTCATCAGAGGTGACATGAACGCGCAGCGTTATATCCACGAAGTTCTAGAACCCCATATTTTACCCTATCTTGACACCCTGACATATCCAACAAGATAATGCCCGACCACATGTTGCAAGAGTCACAATAGACTTGTTTCAACGTAATGATGTCACATTGTTACCATGGCCACCAAGATCTCCCTAGTTATCCCCAATTGAGCACGTGTGGGATATGATGGGTAGGAGATTGCTCAATTTGCAAGGTCCTCCTCAGACTCTAGAAGCACTTCGAGAGCAGTTGGTGGTTGCCTGGAATTAAATACCACAGGAGGACATTGACCACCTGATCAGAAGCATGCCTAGGCGCGTTGGAGAATGCGTAGCACATCAGGGTGCATCCACACATTATTAAAGGTCAAAGGGCTTTAAAGCAGTGCAATCATTTTGAAATTTTTATCATTTACTTATTATGCTTCATTAAGTACTTATACAAAATTTTATTAAAATAAAACCATTTAAACTGGGTGTTCGGATTTATATGTCACTTAGTATATTTTCTTGGATTAATAGTAGAAATTAAGTACGCAAAGCTTTTTCGAATTATTTATTTAAAAGTAAAGGGCTAGTCGATTCATTTATGCATCAATAATGATAATTTATTGGGCCAAACATGCGTACACATACATACCTACATGTATCAGGACAATGCAATGTATCCAATTATTTTGTTTTGATATATTGATCTGATTTAATTAATTTGTTTCGTAACTGATTCATTTCGGTGGGATCGCTATAGCAACCTGACTTTTTAATTATTATTAATTGGACTGCCAATTTAATTTAACCGTTTTATAATTATCACTGGCGAATTTTGACAAACGTAACAGTGGTCGAGTTATGTTGAAATCAGCATAGAGACGCATCAATTAAGAGTTATATTCAGTGCAGCGAGGAAGTGAAAAAAAAAATCAATGCAAAAGTACTCATTTGTTCTTCGAGAAGAAATTTTAAGTAGAGATCTGTCACTTGTAAGTGCTGATCAAGGGTGGCTGCGATATGTGCTGCGACCAACAACAATCCGTTATTCTCCACCTATAGGGTAACAGACCGTCAGATACAGCGAATGAGCTTCAAGTTCCGATCAACAAATTTTACCAATCAATAGCTATGAAATGTTGAAAACAAAATACTGTCAAAGTATGAGATGACAGCTTGTCATTAAAACATCACCAGCATATCGAATATTAAGAAATTACATATGATTCAGTCAAAATTTAAAGAAATGTTGGATTTTTGAATAATGTTTTAATTACTATTGTTGATTTTTTATTCATGTTTATATTATTTTCTTCAATTGATATGCGACACTGGGTGTTTTTTCCTATAAACCTCTTGCAGATAGCGATTAAGCACCTACTTGATGACAGGCTCTACCAAAAGATATTGCTCGTTTCCAAACATTCATTCATTTACTTGCCGTTCATCAGAACCATTATGGCACCTTAGATTGATATTCCCACAAAACCGTTCAGGTTTTTTGATCACTGGACAACAAATTTTAGTTTTTTAATGTATCTTGTGGGAAAAGTGCACTTCTTTGTTAATTTTGGGGCGCTAAATCCAAAAATGACAACGAAATAAAAAAATTAGTTGCGGTTTAGAAAAAAAACTTTTTATTTTTAAGGATATATTAAAAAAAGTAACAAGATTCATAAACTTATAAGAATCACTATATTCCACTTTCCCTGGTACCTTTTTTCCATTGTTGAAATATTCTGATGAAAACGTTCGCCGTGCTCATCACTTACGGCTCCGCAATTGTCAGGAAAAAAGTCCAGGTGTGAGTGTAGGAAATGTATCTTAAGAGACATATTACAGCCCATCTTTTGATACGATGGCAGCATATTTTTGACAAGGGTTTTATAGTTGTCAGCTTTTCTATTTCCCAAGAAATTAGTGACCACCAGACGGGAATCATTCCAAGCAGTTTTTTCAATACCTGTTAAAGTGTTTTCAAACTGTGTATCTTTCAAAATATTTCGAATCTGTGGCCCAACACAAATACCTTCATTAACCTTTGCCTCACTTAGTCTTGGAAATTACTGACGCAGGTATTGAAAAGCTGACCCATCTCTATCTAATGCCTTGACAAAATTTTTCATTAGGCCCAACTTGATATGCAGTGGTGGTAATAAATTTTTTTTCGAATCTACTAATGGCATATGCTGTACATTTTTTTGACCTGGCTCTAGAAATTGACGAACAGGCCAGTTTTGTCTGGTGTAATGAAGTGCCTTTGCCCGACTGTCCCATTCACACAAAAAACAGCAAAACTTTGTGTAGCCTAGCTGCAGCCCAAGTAAAAGTGCAACAACTTTCAAATCGCCACAAATATGCCATTGGTGCTCATCGTATTTTATGCATGTCAATAGGTACTTCATATTGTCATATGATTCTTTCATGTGAACTGCATACCCTACAGGAAGAGATGGTAAAATATTTCCAATATGCAATAACACTGCCTTTAAACTCAATGTTGAACTGTCTATAAACAATTTCCATTCTTCTGGGTTATATTTTATATTTAAAGCCGCCAGTAAGCCGTTAATGTTACTGCAGAAAACCAAGTTATTTTCCATACTGAAAAATGGATCTAAGTCTTTGCGGCGTTTACGAAAAACACATGCCGAAACATCGTCTTCTAACAAGTTCCACTGCTGCAGTCTTGATCCAAGTAACTCTGCCTTACATTTTGGAAGTTCTAAATCTCTTACAAGATCATTTAATTCTGACTGTGTTATTTTGTGCGGTTGGTGACATGACGTGCTCGGTATAAAATCAGGATCTCTTGACGTTGATGGCATATCTTCTTCCTGACGAATCACTCGATCGCCATGATCTGATTCGTTTTCTGATTCGCAAGTGTAGGATTCTGGGGGTTTTGGAATAGGATTTTCGTCACTGTGAGGCACAGGTCTCATCGCAGATGGTATGTTTAGGTAGTTAACAACCGATTTTTTTTTCTTGGACATACCTGCGGCTTGTCCAGCACAAGGTACCATGCAAAAGTAACAATCATTAATATGATTTGTAGGCTCTCTCCAAACCATTGGGACAGCAAAGCGCATAGACTGTTTTTTGCCATTTAACCAGCTCCTCAGACTTGAAGCACATGTATTACAGCAGATGTGGGGTGCCCACTGTTTGTCTTGATCACCTAGTTTACAACCGAAATAAAGCTGATATGCCTTTGTTATTAGTGGAGTAATAGACCGTCTCTGAGACGCAAAAGTCACATCACCACACACGTAACAAAACTGATCTGGATTGTTTACACACTTTCGAGACATCTTGCATGAACGCTGTCAGCCAACTGAGGAAAAAATGGCTAATATAAAACAATATAATGTACACATATTATGTATAACGTAACACAATCATGCCGATTACATCATCTTTCCTTGTCGAA